GTTTGCAGAAGTTGAGGCTGCAGAACTGATAACAGTAATAACCGAATGTAATAATTAGATATAATAATCGGATGTAATAACGTTAACTAATCGAATAATTATTATATATAGTTAGATAGTCTTTCATTCGTTATATCTATAAGATAGGTAAGGCTTTAGTGATTAATCGTAGTCTTATTAAAAAGATTCTTAAGGAAGATAGCTAAAAGCGATCGTAAGATCTAATACGAAGTTAATTACTAAAGAAGCTATAGGAAGTCCATAATTGAGCCCGGCTCGAGTCTATCTTATATATAAGTCTTAATTCTAAATATAGTTAACGTGCATGATAAGCGAGCGGATCGGACAAGCGAGCGGATCGCTCAACAGCGACCGCCACATCTTTTTCTTTCCAACACATATCCATCCACCACAATGATACAGTCATCAAAAAAAGAAGCTGGCATAATTCTAGCAGTTCAAGCTATCGAAAAAACACCAAATTTAAGTATTAAAGGTGCAGCTCGGATCTACTCAGTGCCATTTTCAACCTTATGCGCCCGTATCAATGGAAGGACTTCGAGACTTGAAACCGTACCAAACTTACGGAATTTGACGTTGCTCGAAGAGGATACGCTAGTTAAGTATATTATCGACCTAGATTCCCGATTATTCCCTCCTCGGATCAGTGGTGTAGAAGAAATGGCTAATCGACTACTCGCCGACCGCGGCGCGCCCCCAGTTGGGAAGTGCTGGGCTTCGAACTTCGTCAAGCGACAACCACAGCTCCGGACGCGCTTTTTTCGCAAGTATGACTATAAGAGGGCCCAATGCGAAGATCCAGATGCGATAAACGCGTGGTTGCGCCTTGTGGCGAACACAATCGCGAAGTACGGCATCGTGGACTCCGATATCTACAACTTTGATGAGACTGGGTTTATGATGGGCCAGATTGCATCCGGAATGGTTGTCACGAGTGCTGAAAGGCGTTCAAACACGAAAATGACGCAGCCTGGCAATCGTGAATGGGTTACAGTCATTCAAGCCATCAGTTCGTCAGGCTACAGCGTTCCGCCGTACATCATCGTCACAGGCCAATATCACCTCTCCACCTGGTACACAGAAACAGGTCTCCCACGCGACTGGGTCATTGTAACGTTTGAAAACGGATGGAAAACAAATGAAAAAGGCCTAGACTGGCTCTAGTACTTTGATCGGCATACAAAACCGCGTGCAACTGGTAGATATCGCCTCCTCGTCGTTGATGGGCATGAAAGTCACCACTCTGCGGACTTTGAGATATATTACAAGGAAAACAATATCATCATACTCTATATGCCGGCCCATTCGTCTCATATACTTCAGCCCTTAGACTTTGGGTGTTTTGGGCCACTAAAGACGGCTTATGGTCGACAAATTAAGGATAAGATGCGCCGGGGTAATACCCATATTACGAAGGAGGACTTCTTCCCTGCATTTCGCAACGCTTTCACGCAAGCCCTAACGGTAAAAAACATCCAGGGAGGTTTTAGAGGGGCTGGGATTGTTCCGTTAAGTGCTGAAAGTGTGCTTTCGAAGCTGGATGTGAAGTTACACACTCCAACGCCCCCAGGGTCTCTTCCAGCAACACCCCCCGCGTGGACTTCTCAGACACCAAACAACCCAACAGAGGCAAATTCTCAGTCAACTTTGATTAAAGATCGAATCTTAAATCATCCAAATAGCTCGCCAACACCAGCTAATAACACAGTTAACCATATCCTCAAAGGGACACTAGCTATGATGCATCGTAATACTCTTCTAGAGGCTGAGAATAAAACCCTTCGGGAGGAGAATAATCTACTTAGCCGACGGCGGAGATCTAAGAAAACTCGTCTCAGGCAAGGAGGGAGCCTTACTATAGCTGAGGCAGATGACCTTCAATCACAGAGAGAGGCTACAGCTCAGATTGAGGAGGAAACGCGCCGGAGTAGTGGCCGTCGGCCGAGGACGGAAACAGGTCAACGGCGATGTGGCGTCTGCGGGAACACTGGACATAATGCGCGCACATGTCCATTTCAGAGAGAAATGTCTAGAGAAGAGGATTATGGGTAGTTTCAATTAATTAAACTTTGTTGATGTTGATCAAGATTGACATACGTGGAGTGGTTGCTGTCGAGCGATCCGCTCGCTTGTTCGATCCGCTCGCTTATCATGCACGTTAGTTCTTTATTGTAAATTTACTAATTTAATTCTACTCCTTAGAATACTTTAGAGTAGAATACGTAAGGGTGAAGTTTTTTTAATTCGTCTCGTTATCTTAAGACTGCTCCTATAGTAAAGTCTAAGGCATCGGTCTTAACTTCGAATAGTATCCTTAGATCGGGGATTATAATAGTTGGTTCTAAAACTACTATATTCTTAACCTTAATAAATACTTCTTTATATTTATCGTTCTATATAAATAGCGTGTCCTTTTATATTAGGTTATTAAGAGGTCTAATTATATTAATATAGTTTTTAAAGAATTGTTAATAAAAATTAACAAATCCTAGGAATTTTAAACTTTCTTAACGTTCTGAGGCCGGTTTTTAGTTATTTATCCGGAAGTTGATTTTTCCGTTTTTATTTATTTTAAAATCGAGGTTCTATCTTTTAATGATTTTAATTTTATATTTGCGGTTAAGGTTTTTGAGCTGCTCGAGGACCTTGCGTTAGAACTTATTATTTGTGACCGCGCTTCATATTTACTAATCCATTTCTGTAGTCTCCAAACTTGTTCTCTGTCTCTCTCTCACTCACTCTCTCTCCAATCATGATCATCGCCAAACTCTCGTGAGCTTGCGCAGAACCTGGGAAAAGACATTACGCATGGTGTCAGAATGATGAGGCCGTCGTGCACCCGAGCTCTGGCCTTTCTGGGGGTTGCACTGAGCATAGGTAGCCAGTAATCACATGAATCGCGTTGCAACGATTCGTAAGTGCTGCGGATATACAGTGGACATTCAGTGAAGATCATCATTCTCCTTACCACATTCAGCCTATACCTCTGGCTAAGTCCCCCAAAAACACTGTATACAATATACATGCACTTAGAAATGTCTATTTTGGTTCATTTCGATGCTGATGACGACGCCACTATGTTTTCCTCTCCTCTCTCTCAGTAATAACTCACAGAGTAAGGTTGTTGAGTGTAATCCCACCTGTACGGTGTGCCGTCTATCCGCACTTTCGTTGGAAACTTTCTCAGCCCCCAACGATGGCTTCGTCATCATCACTAGCCCTAGGTCATGCTCGCAAGTCACAGGTTGGCAGTATTGGTCCGTTGGGAGGGAGGGCAAACAGACCAACTTCAGCCCCCAATGCCAACGCGGTCAAGAAGGCAACGTCGTGCCGTCGCAACCGCACTTATTATTATCTATAGTTATCATGTTTGTTTACCACTATAGACAGGGCTCTACGTCTGCAATATGCGCAAGGTCAGTTTTCCCCCCTCTTCCAGGGCCTCAGCTTCACAAAAGTCAAAAAGCCCCGACCAAAAAGAATTAAGGGGAAATTGCAAGCATACTTTCGGAATGGTCTTCCCTCTCACCAAAAGCCACGGCAAGGTGTTCCAGGGACTGCCAACTGCTAAATTGGGAGCGTTGTCCGGTCTCACAGGCTTTGTTGGGACATCAGCACCGGGAATGCCTTACGATGTTAACCCACTTCACTTGAGGCTTGAAGGGTACTCACGCAAGTCAGGGCTCGTCAAGCCTCAAGAGAGTCGAAAAGAAGGGGAAGCTTCTTCATAGAGGCGGGGTTTTACCCCTGAACCCGCACCGTTACCCCCTGAATCGGTTTCCCGGAATGACACTCTTCTGGAATGTGGGGGATTTAGAGCGTCGAGAGCCGCAAAGCTTGGGCGGATGCGATGCAGGGGTATCCCCGTCCTTTCTCTACACGTTCCCGAACATGTCATTGCCCATCTGATTGTTGCTCACTGGTACCTTAGCAGTTTGGCAGTTGTGTTGTTGCAGCGCCCCGTTGACGGCAGCCCGGCAGAGCTTGCTTTCTAGCTTCTTTAGGTATTAAGCCTCATGCTTGGCATCGAACCTTTTTGGCGTTCCCCACGTCGGAAGTGGCTGGTGAACCGTAACGTCAGATCTGTGACGATGCATGATGGAACGCTCGCTTGTTACGTTATCGAGAACGCCCCTCTCTGATACTGTCCCGACCGCCTGCCTACTCATGAAGCTCGAGGCTCATGAGTCTGTCCCAGATAGCCCCAAGGAGTCCCAAGGAGTTCCAAGGAGTCGCCGACCTCGGTCTCGCCCCGGCTCATCAAGCCTCAGCCGTCGCAAGGTCCAAGCGCAGGAGACCTTGCTGTCTCTCCCTCAGCCATCAACTCGGGAACCTTCAGCCAGTAAGGACAATAGGAGAATTTCGATCGCATGAAGGTGCCCCGGACGAACGGTTTGAAACATCCAGGTTGTTCGCCCACATCGCGGGTTAAACCTGCCATCTCATGAGGCTGTGGCACGGTCAAACATACTGCCATAGTCTGTTAACGAAGAGAACATGGGAGGGCAGGAAACCTCACTGGTTCTCGAAGGCCGCTCCTTGGACCTAGTCCGGCGATGACGAGGGCCTCAACGTCGACAAAGTGACATCCGGGACGTCGGTCATCAACATTCACCCACCACGCGGTTCCGGAGACTGGCTGTGTAAGACGCTCTTGCAATGCGTCGTAAGACTCTCCATCGAAGTCTCCAGTCTGTCGTAGATTGTCGGTCGAGTTACTAGTCAGACTTGGAAAAGGTAATCGAAAAGCCTTCGAAACACAGAGGTCAAGTTGACCATAAAAGAAGACCTTTGTCCCGTCCGAATGACAACCTTTTTCTTTTTCCTCACCACCAACAACCAGTTCAATCTTCAATCACTCTCAAGCATCTCTCACTCTTCCACTTTTCGCTCTCTCAGCACCACTTTCGCTCTACTACACAATTCAGTTTTCACACTTCTTTTTCAAGAACCACCACCAACCACCCCCAACAATCAAAATGCAGTTCACCATCGCCACCATCATTGCCTTCGCCGCCGCCGCTCAGGCCGGTCCCCTCGCCATCCGCGATGTCTGCAACTCCGCCCCCTCCGGGCCTACTACCGCCAACGTCGGGCCCCGTTCTCAGCCCGCCGCCGCCACCGCGGACGCCTGCCAGAAGCTTTGCGAGGCTGACTCCGGCTGCCAGTCCTTCGTCTTCGGCCTTCCTCCCTCCGGCACCACCCCTCTCTGCTACCTCTACGCCGTCCCGGCCTCCCAGGTCCCCAAGCAGTCCAACACCAACCTGATGGTCTTTGACAAGGCTTGCACCAGCGTCCCCACCGCCGTTCCCACCCAGTCCAACACCGGTGCCAACAACGGCAACACCGGCTCTAACACTGGTGCCAACACCGGCAATGCCAATACCCGCAGCAACAACAACGGCGAGCAGCCCAAGAAGCGTGCCAATGTCTGCGGCGCTGCCCCCGCCGGCCCTGCGACCAGCAGCCCCACCCCTCTCCTGAGCCGCGAGGACATCACCACCCAGGACGCCTGCTTGGCTCTCTGCAAGCAGACCACTGGATGCCAGGCCATCGAGTTCGGCAAGCCCTCTGCCAACGAGCCGGTCCAGTGCCGCCTCTTCAACGTCCCGGCTTCCAGCCTGCCCGCTCCCACCAACGGCCAGACCTTCGTCGCCTTCGACATTGGCTGCTAAATGCATACACGTGCATAGCATTACAGCACATTCCACGGCGTGCCTTCGCTTGACGCGGCTCAAATCGGCGAGTTGGCTCAGAAGGTAGTGCTTTACTCTTCTACTCTCTGTCTCATAGCGTGGTTGGCCACAATGACTTCTGCTTTGTGCACATCGGAACGGAAAATTCGACAATCCAACTCTTGGAGCTTCGATCTTTGGGGGAATGGGGTACAACAGACGCTTGTGAATGAATGAATGGTTTTCCTGGTTGGTCATGGATAAAACACTCTTTTGGTATGCATTTTTTCTTAGCTCGATTTTTCAGAACAGTCATTCGTTTGGATATAGAAAAGGAACAACAGAAAAGGAACAAAAAAGAATCTTGTATAGTAGGCAGCAAAATAGACTCGAGTTGGGAAACTTTTCCGTTGCCGATCATTTTGTGACCAAAGCCTTTCTGAGACTAACAGATCATAATACTGAGAGATTTGAGGTACCATCCCAGCTACTGGCTGGTTGGCAGGAGCTGGTTTCAGACAGCGCGCCTAAATAATGGACGATCGCATCCATTGCAATTGAGTATTACCTATGACACGCCTGGAAACCGTCTGGGAGGTCGCAATCGTCGGCTGAAACTGGTCCGGGTGGGCGAAATCGGGAATCGGAAAAAGGGTGGGGCGACGTACTCTTGAATGGGGCCGTCTCCCGAACTGGTCGTGACCGTGGGATCGGATGGAAGCCGCATTTCTCGAACAGGCGCTCGGCGCCGCAGATGCAAGACACGGTCTAGCGCCAGACGCGCGGAGAAACAAGATTTTTGGCTGAATCGATGGGCTTTGGAGGGTTCATCTTTAAAGTTGCCAAGTGACAGAATTCGGAATTGTACCGTTGCGCCATATACAAAAGAGAGATCCCTCTACTGCATTTAGGTAGTTGTGGGTACATATAGTTTCCGTCACCAAGCAAAGCCAAGTCATTTCAACAAAGTGCTCCAGGTCCTACACAGTCCAGTCGGCGATGTCGCCATCGACTTCAACATGAGGTGATTCATGTCGACCAATCACACAACTCGCAAACGAATTTCATCATCCACCTCCGCTGGCGCCATCCACCCGGCAGTGGTGACCTGCAACGGCATCTATGTAATTACAGGAATGATGCCCCGGGAAAATGTCATCATGGATTGATGATGCCATGCGGGCCCTGGCAAAAAGGCACTGAGAATCGATGTCAAAATGGTCGTTGAGCCACGAAAATCTCTAAGCGAGGCATGACCCCCGAAGGAAAGGAACATTCAAGCCAGCCCACTTGAGCAATCTACTCGCCAATCTCATTTTCCTTCGCGCATAGGTTTGCCCCGACAGTCTGGTCCCAATCTTTTGGGGTCCGCATTGATAAGCCGTGCGCGTGGCCACAGAGTCACTTTTTCAAACACGCAAGAGACCTCAGAAACTCGACTTCAGCCGAACAAGCGCGGGTGTTTATGGTACTGAGCGAAGCTAGAATCCGACCTTCTTCTAACAACAAGGGGAACAAAGCAGCGACAGACACGAGGGAGACAAGCTGAGAACCCATAAACATCAGCGACATACAATGAGCGCGCAAACGAATCCCCCGCTTGAGAAGGCGCTTAATGCGTCGGCGAAAAACACCAGCGGGACGGATAGCCCATCCGAGGTTGAACTTGAGGAGAATGCCATTAGTGAGAAGTCGCTATTAAGAAAGCTTGATCTCAAGCTTTTGCCAGCAGTGGGCATTTTGTACCTTCTCTCATTCCTCGACCGATCTAATGGTGGGATTCTCGAGAAAGTCTTTGATGAGGTAATATGCTAATGTCGACGCAGTGGGCAACGCTCGAATCGAAGGCCTTACTACTGATCTCACCATGAGTATGTCTCCTTAATCAGACACACTGGGTCAAGACCAAACCGCTATAGCTGACAATTGAAAGGTGGTAATCAGTATTTAACTGGTCTGACTCTGTACTTCATCGGTTATGTTCTCTTTGAGGTAAGTGCTTTCACGACATCGTTCCGAAGGGACATGGGCTCGTGCACTACTAAACGCCGCAGATTCCATGCAACATCGTTCTGAAAAGGACCACTCCACGATTCTGGCTTCCGACTCTGACTATCGCATGGGGCATTGTCGCGACGCTCATGGGAATCGTCACCAACATGGCCGGATTCTTTGTCGCCCGCTTCTTCCTCGGTGTCACTGAGAGTGGTCTCTTCCCTGGAGTGGTGTACTACTTCTCGATGTGGTACGTTCGAATGATTCAGAAGTTCAAGAAAAATATGGTTCTGACCCGAACTTCCGCAGGTACAAGCGTCGTGAGAGACAATTTCGCATCTCCCTCTTCTTCAGCGCTGCCTCTCTTGCCGGTGCTTTCGGCGGTATCCTGGCATGGGGAATCGGGCACATGAGAGTTGTATGGAACAATGGCTGGAGATGGATTTTCATCTTAGTTTGTGCCACCTATTTCATTCTGGGGAATAATGTCTGACAATCTAATAGGAAGGTATCGCGACCGTGGTCATCGCGGTCGGTGCATACTGGTTCATCCAAAACTACCCGGACACAGCTGAATTCGTTTCCGATAAAGAGCGCCGCTTTATCAGAGCCAGACTGGCCTCCGACAGCGATGCCACGCACAACGAGAAGTTTTCATGGAGCAATGTGATGGATGCCATCAAGGACCCGAAGTGCTGGTTGTATGGTCTCGGCTTCCACACCATGAGCTTGCCGCTGTACACATTCTCCCTCTTCATTGTAAGTTACATGTACTCTCACAAACTCGCCCGAGGTCAAGTGGAACATCTTACTGACTCTACCTAGCCTACGATCATTAAGAACCTCGGATATACTGCGGCCGTCGCCCAGCTACTCACTATCCCCCCTTACGCCCTCGCCTTCGTCACAACATTGACAGTCGCGATCTACTCTGAACGCACCGGCCGCCGCGCATTCTTCATTATGGGATCATCAGGTGTTGCGGCAATTGGTTATGTTATCCTCCTAGCCAACTCAGACCCTGTGGACAAGCCCGGCGTCTCGTACCTTGGGACTTTCTTCGCAGCTGCGGGAATCTACCCCGCCACCGCTCTGGTCCTCTCGTGGCCGGCCATCAATGTCTCCGGGCAAACAAAGCGTGCTGTAGGCAACGCTATGCAGATCACTATTGGAAATTTGGGAGCTGTGTTGGGAACCCAATTGTATCGCGCCAATGATGGTCCAAGGTATATTGTCGGCCACTCTTTCGCTTTGGGGTATCTTTTGGCGAATATCATCGTCTGTGGGATCTTGTACTTTGTCTTGAAAGGTGAGAATAAGAGACGCAAGGCTATTGCACCGGAAGTTCATGCAATTGGGGATTTGGAGGATTGGCCTGGTGATAAGGATCCCAGATGGAGGTTTCAATACTAGGGCAAATCGGCACTTGGCAGCTTGACTGGTTCAGAGTGTGACTTTCAATTCAAAAGTTCATGTAGATATCGCCGAGGCTGTGTGCTTCTGTGTTGAATCTAGTTTATTTGTGGATTTTTTGGTCGAAGATCGAATCGTGAGTAAACTCTAATACGACTAAGAACATTCCTAGCATTGTCTGCTGTGCTACAGCAAGGTGCTACCTCCGCCGATGAGTCATGCATGTGCTTTGCCAATAGCATGAGGAGAAACATGAACTCGAAATTGGCATGGTCAGTCATTAAAGGCAATACCTCGTTGAGTCACGCTCTTGTCTTTGTTGCCAGTAAGCACACATGATAATTACATTCTGCTGGACGGCATAGCTGAACTAGCGTCGAAAGTCAACCGCCACGGTTAGTTGGAGGAATTGAGATTATGTCAAAATTTCCTCGACTCTACGTTAACGCTAAATACATCCGTTCTCACAATTGAAATTTTCTGCTCATGTTGTTTCCTTTCAGGATACTTTCTTGACTGCCTTTTGTGACCATCGTTGTCGTCACCGTATCCTCAAAGCTGATCGCATCAGCGTCGTGTTGCCTCCTGACCACTCGCTTCTTCGCCTCCAAAAATCGAGACATTTCGATGTCGGATCGCAATTGATCACTAGGGCCCGAGCCATAGTTTTCATATGTATACCGGCTTCCCCCAGAACTGAAAATGCGCTTGCCAGAGATGAGCTCGCCAAGAGGTTGAAGGACGGGAATGCATGCGGCGATAATCATCGTGCTACCCTCGACGCTACAAAGTAGGGTCAGCGCATCTTTTAAACCTCTCATCGTTGCTACCAAGAGAGCTACGTTACTCACATGGTCCAAATCACCAGGTCCGAAGTGTCATCTGTAATATCATACCACTAGTCAAGACCTGACGCGTGATTTCAACTTTCAAGCGGGCTTTCCGATAGGCTTACATGAAAAGTCTAGGGTCGCGAGGCTTGGAAGCCGAGTACACTTGTATATCGCAAAGATTGATGATCTTTCCGTTAATATTGTCAGTTATTGTTATCACTCAAGATTTAAATCAGTCCCAGCCAGACGCACATTGACCCGATGCCAAGAGCGATGCTCAGAGCCACCTTTTTTCTCACACTCATCTGCAGCTTCGCAAGGACGACAGCTAGGTATATAGCCAAATAGAGGTCCACAAACGCGCAGAAACCTGACTGATATGTCAGGCATGTGACGTCAAAGGGTGGAAACAGAAGGGAATTGAAGCACCTCCAGAGAAGACGGCAAAGTAAACCAGGATCCACTTGTCCCAGCACGTCTTGTCAGTGACTGAAAAGTCCCATTGCGCGTGAGAAGGTTGGCATTGGGCAAAAAGAATGATCACGCATCCGATCAAGTTGACGAGACAGAGCGTTGCGATGAACCACAGAAAAAACGCATGCCATTTGCTGGGATTCATGATGCGTGTGAGGAGTGCGACCACAGCAAGCTTCGGGAGTCCGAAAGACATGACACCGGGAGGAAAGCCGGCAATGGTCCAAAGTATCGCTCCGGACTTCTGGTCGAGTGTTAGCACGTCAAAATGCCGGCTGTTTCCGTACGGTACGGCGGCGATGGCAGTTCCGACATTTGTCCATCCACACACCTGAAACATATATGTTGGAATAGGCCTACATTAGGCAGCAGGAGGTTGCTGCCGCGGTCCGTTCCAGCCACGGTGGTCCGTGTGGCTCAGCCACACGAGGGTGGTATACCCCAGACTTCCTGCCGCCGCTGGCACCTGGTTAGACTTCCACTAAAGAACAACAAGAACAAGCAATATCACCACTACAGTCGGTGATCGTTGCTACCCACGATACTCGAGTATTTTCCTTTTCCACCTGTGAATCCAACACTGATCAGTGGTTAACCTCACAGTAACCACTACTGCGATATACTGCAGATCAGCAAGGTATTACAGAAGAGACTGTTGCGACGCCTCACCACGGGATCCCTTCAGTGCTAATCACGAAATCGCCGGCCCTCCACAACCCGCATTATCGTCAACCTTTCTTCCGCAACTACGTTGCCGTTGATAAGGGCGTCTATCACGCTGTCGTCGATCGACCTCGCAGCCGAATACCCTTCCGTACGACAAGTGCCGTTGGAGAAGTCCGTTGCTCATCACGATAATTCAACTTCGTCAACTTCGTCAATTTCGTTGCCCACAACGAATTTCCTCACGATACTTTTTTTTTTCACCTTCAACCCACAAATTCGCGAAGATTCGCGGAAGTACGCGAAAAACACCTACTGTACCTTCCTTACCTTCTACACTTTTACGCGATATCCACGCTGTGGCAAGGCCGCAGGCTCCTACTTGCTATCTCTGCAACTACTCACTTCACTAATCCTCCTCCCTTAACTACGCTACACCATGACGGAATCGCAGACGTCACAGGATCTGCCCATCCCGTACGGCTTTGGCCGACTTATCGACCTAACGGTATGGGGAAGCAACGATGAGATCCTTTTTAGCGAGCGCGATAATAGGAAGGTATGTACACACATTGCTTACTCCATCGCTACGTGGTTACAAGAACAAATCTTTGGTCGCGAATTATTCGCCGCCTTCCAACGCGACTTCGATGGATGGGACGAAGAATTCTTCCACGCGGCAGGATCAAGGGCACTCAGCCTGCTCCGCGATCACCTCCTCTTCAATGGTGTCCATATCCCTAAGACCAGGGACAAGGTGGCTCCTAGGCTGGTGGAAGTTCTGGATCGTGACACCTTTCATACATGGACGGATGAGGAAGTCGAAGAGATGCGTCATCATTCCCCCTACTTTAACCGTCTATTAGATGAGGATCCACGTATCCTCGAGGATATCCAACGACAATATATCAGCCCGCAACAACGAACGGCTATGAGGGAGAAGCAATATCAACAGCAGATGGAGATTGAGAGACAGCAAAGGAAGAACGAGAAGGAGAAGGAGGACCGTATGAATGAGATTCTTGCCAAGGAGCTGGCAGCCAGGGCAACCAGGGGAGTTGACAACCCTCCTCTACCAGAACGACCAACCCGACAGAAGCCGACTCCTCGACAGTCGCCAGCTCAATCGGTCCACTCAGTATCTCGTCGACCTACCCCAATTACACGCCCATTATATCCTACGATAGCACCTCCCACTACGCAATCTCGTCATATCTTACCAGCGCCCCCGCTGTCGCCGAGACCCGCGATGATGGAGCACCCTCCACAACACCTTCCGCCTCATGACGAAGACTTCTACGTCGGCCCACAAGGCCACAACTTCCCTCTACAGGACTATCCCCCTGTCACCACAGGCTTCCCACCACAACCTCCTATCGACAACGTTGCTACACGAACCAGCAAGCCAACCTCTAGGCAACTTTCCGATCTCGCCAAGCTGATACCTGACGAAAACAAGTACGGTGGCGAGATGTATGATGTATTGGACATTAAGTTAACGAACTTCCGTGATAACTGCGAGAAAGTCGATATCGAGGAGGACCAACTGGGCTACGCCTTCTCTATCATGCTCCGCGGCAAAGCTTCCACATTTTATCTTCAACGAATCTGCGGCAGGGGCCCACGTGACTTTTTCTCGATGGTTCGACAAATCAGGAACCACTTCGAGAATGAGGAAAGTCAGCAGAATTACCTCTCCCAGTGGCGAGAGACTAACTTCAATCGCATCGCTCAAGAGCACCCCGACAAGACGAAGATACAGGTCCTTGAGGCCCTCATCGAGAAGCTCACAGTCATTCAACGAGCTCTCCCCGCTGTGTACCAGTCTGACGAGGTCCTGCGAGGCCAGCTTGTCAATGCTTGCTCCGGGGTCCCAGAGTGTACTTTGTGCCTGTATAACCCCTCCCGGACATTGGAAGGCGTCTGCAACCAGCTTCGATCAGCCGTCAGCACCGCTATCCGCATGAAGAAGGACCACCAGTATGTTACTGAACCATTCGAGCAATACTGGGTCGACCGCACTTATCACGGCCGAGGCCGAGATGATCGATACGGCAACAGCCGTGGCCGGGGCACAAATCGACCTCATAACCGCGGCCCGCCAGACCGCAAGTCTGACCGCCATTGCTATGTCTGCAAAAAGCCAGGCTGCTGGTCAACGAAACACTCGCTGGACGAAAGACGGCAGGCATACGATCGGTACAAAAGCAATAGATACGTGCAGGATACCTCGTCAACGGGATACGGTGACTTCCTTGCCGAGTACGAAGGCTTCGAATCTCTTGACGACGACGATGGAGAGGAAGATATCCGCCAATACCTCCAGACGACCCCTGCGCCCACCAACAACGATGATGAGGAGGCTGATGACAGTGATGCCTTCCTCGTCAGCACCGCCTTTTTCAACAAGAGCAACTTCAGCGGCAAGGCTATTTTGTCACAATTAGCTGACCAATCGGTCTTCCATCAATTGACTAAGGCAGATCTCGGCGACCAGACTGCCAAGGAAAACGCGGCTGTCTTCGTACTTGACCGATACTCAGCAGAAGTCTTCCAAGGGATATTACCAGATACGGGAGCAGCCGGAGTTTCCACTGCAGGATACTCCCAAGCTCTTGCCCTTCGACGAACCTTTCCATCAGTAGAAATCGACACTTCGCAAGCGGGAAAAGCAAATGTCCGCTTCGGCGGAGGCGATCTTCTGCCCTCAAGCGGCACCATCACGGTCCCCACCCCGTTCGGACATATCGAGTTCTACGTCGTACCCGTCAATACCCCATTTCTGCTCTGCCTCGCCGATATGGACCGTCTGCGGATTCGCTTTGACAATCTCGCCAATACACTGCAACAAGGCAACGTTGTTGTGCCTGTTGTTCGTAAATGGGGCCATCCGTGGCTGCTACTTGGCCCGCCTGAGCAGAGCCTCGCCTGGAACCACCTCACGGACGTGGAATTACGCAGACTTCATCGTCGCTTCGGCCACCCATCTGTCCAACGACTTCACAAGGTTCTTCACGAGGCTGGCCATGACGTTGAGACCGTCGCAATCGAGCAATTGACGAAGTACTGCCATCAATGCCAAATGCACAGCAAGTCGCCCGGCCGATTCAAATTTTCCCTTCGCGACGACTGCTCTTTCAACTACGAAGTCATCGTTGACGTCATGTACCTCGACGGCGATCAACCCGTCCTTCACGTTATTGACCTCGCGACTTCCTTCAACGCGGCCCACTTTCTCAAAGACATCTCTGCGAAGACTACGTGGGAAGCTCTTCGAATTTGCTGGATTGACGTGTACCAGGGACCACCTGACTGGATCGTCGCTGACGCCGGCCGCAACTTCACAGCAGCCGACTTCCGCCGCGAAGCTCGCGCAATGTCTATTGAAGTCAAGATCATCCCTGTCGAGGCACATCACAGCATTGGAAAGGTTGAAAGATACCACGCAGCTCTGCGACGAGCCTACGATGTTATCCGCAAGGAATGCCCACTGACTACACGAGAGTCATCGCTACAAAGCGCGGTCAAGGCAATCAATGATACTGCCGGCCCTGACGGCATCGTCCCTACCCTTCTCGTCTTTGGCGCATACCCACGTATGACCGACGATTCCGCCCCATCTCCCGATATCGTCAAACGCGCCGCCGCCGTACGCAAGGCAAGCAACGAGTTACGCAAGCACTTTGCCAAGCGGCAAGTGAATGAGGCCCTGGCAGCACGAAACGGCCCTGATACAACCGCGCTGAAGTCACTTACAATTGGATCGCAAGTCCGCGTCTGGCGCGAGAAAGAAGGATGGAGTGGCCCTTATCGCCTACTTGCTACTGACGGTGAGGAGTGCACCGTTGACGTCAACGGACCGCGTAACTTCCGATCAACCGTTATCAAGCCCTATTACGCAGACCCTGACGAAGATGTTCCTCATAATACCGACAAAAGCGACGACCACGCAGAGGATACTATTGTCGTTGCTACTCCCCCGAGGAACCCTGTCGCAGCTGAGACTACTCCATACCCTCGTCGTACCCGCGGCCGACCGCGCAAGAACTTCGTCGCTGACGCGCTTTTACAGGAGACTGACGTACCTGATAACCCGTCACTCCTTCCCTCCTCCTCTACCTTTCTCTCTGCTAAAGAAGAATCCGATAAGGCCCTCGCAAAGCAACTACGCGATAAAGGGACGATAACCACCTCTGGTGAGCCCTTCGAACTATCTACGAAGACCGAGATAGATAGCCTTATCGCACGGGGGGTATTCGAATTCGTCACCCTCGACCTTGCTAAGCACGATAGCCGTATCTTCAAATCACGTATCGTTAACGAGGTAAAGGGCAAGAATACCGATAAGCCCTACGAGAAGTCACGCCTTGTTATCCAAGGATATGCTGATGACGGGAAAGAAGCTATCCTTACGCAGTCACCGACCATACAACGAGCAAGCCAGCGACTGATACTTGCACTTGCTCCGTCCCTCCTGCGTGACAACCATCAGCTCTGGCTTCGCGATATCACGCAAGCATACGTCCAGTCAACTTCACAGTTGAATTGCACTATTTACGCACGACTACCTACCCAGATTCGCGATGACTACCCTCCGAATACGATTATGAAAGTCGTCAAGCCACTATATGGCATTG